TAATGGCCAAACAATCGAAATTCGAGGTGGCGACTCGAGACCTACAGAAGCAATTATAACACAATACCATTACCAATTAATTAAAAAAAAAAGAAAAAGAAAGAGAGTTAGTGATACATGATTGCAACACTAATATATATATATATAAATTGTCTCTGGTCAGACACTTAAAAAGTGCCTGACCAGTCATGCACTTATATAATCGTATATAAATTGTGTATATTTATACGTAAATAATGTATATTTACATGTAAATCATGTATATATAACATGAAATACAATAAATCAGTAAATATACATATTTTCATGCTATGTATTCACTAATTGCTATAAAAAAACATGTTTTGAGGATTAATATACATTGTCGTTTCTTATAACTTAACATACATGATTTATATGTAAATATACACGATTTACATGTAAATATACACGATTGCACAATTATACAAGTGCTATGTAAATATACACAACTTATTGTACATATACACACTTTATACAAAAATGTACAAGTGACATTCTGGTCAGATATTTTCCAAGTGCTTGACCAGAGACCTTGCCTATATATATATATATGACATTTTATTTCCCTTCATGACATTAGTATGAAAGAACAATTTGAAGATTCAAAGCTACTTTTCAAGTTTTTTTTTATTATTTTTTTTATTTTTTCAAATTCCATTATCTTCTTCATTCAAAAGTGACGTAATATCTCTTTTCAGAGGAGAAAAAAGAGAGAAAAAAAAAACAAGTTACAAAGGACGCGTTTAGAACTCGTTTTAAACTGATTTTATTTTTTGTATGAAAATGAAAATGAAAATAAAAACGTTATCAATCTCAGACAGAAATCATTTTTGAAAATACGTTTGATAGTTTTATCAAGAAATTGTTTTCAATGTAAAAAAATCCATTAATGTCTCTTTTTCTTTCTCTGCTCGAGATAGGAGAAAACGAAAACAAAAAATGAAACACGACTAAAACAGGATCAATTCTAAACACAACCAAAGTCTCACTCAGACTCAGGAAACCTGTTTCAGCGAAGGAAATGTGTTGATACAAGAACAAAGGCCAACAACCAGCTAACCTTAGCGTCCTAATTCATGGCATTTGATTCTAGAAATGTAAAGTAAGCCATACCGCCATTTAGAGTTGTCAAATGGGCTGGGCCGTCGATGGACGACCCGGCCCAGCCCGTAACAGTGCCGGGTTTGGCACAGCCTAGTACGACACTATTACAGGCCGTGCCGGCCCGGCATGTTTGAGGGGCTAGGCTGGGCCGCGGCTTCTCAGCCCGCGGCCCATGCCTTTCTCAACCCGCGGCCCGGCCCAAGCCCAGTTCGGCCTGCGAAACGGCCCTTCTTCGGCCCGGCCTATGCACATGTTCGGCCCGCGAGACAGTCAGCGAAATCCCTGCCAGTCCGTGAAGATTACGACCTTCGGGCCCTTCACGAGCCCAACGGTCACAATCTGAAAATCATCCCAAAAAACCCTTATAAATACCCTTTAATCTCACCCTAAATCCCACACAACAATTCACTCTCAACTTCTCATCTCTCTCTCATTCTATCTCTCATCTCGTCTCTTTGATTTTGATTCTAAGCTTTTCTCTCGCGATTACTCAAATTCTTGCTCTTTCATTTATTCAATTAATTTTCAGAAATAAGCCGCATCAAACTTCCATGATTTCATTGCTTTCCCTGAGCTTGGTGATGAGCCATTTTTTGAGGATGAAATGATGGCTCACAACCCCAGCCCCACTGAACCAGAAAGTGCTCTGGTTGATAATGCTTCATTGCACAACGAGGAAGTTGGAGAACGCAGCAGGGGAAAATGACCACGAACTGCTCCAGCATGGCAGCATTTCACAGAGGAGCTCTGACCAAATCCAAAAACAGGTGAAATAGAAATTCGTGCGGTATGTAAGTACTGTTAAAAGCATTTTTCTAATAAAAATGGTGGGGGTACTGATCATATGGATAGACATTGAAAAACATGTCTACCGTTGCACCAAGGTGGGAGTGTGGACTTCCGCTAACAAACATTATCACTCACATCACAAAGGTCACAAAATTTTACATACGATGCATAATGTGCTCGTGAGGCACTAGCTAAATTTTTAGCTAGTGTCGAATTGTCTCTTTCTTTTGCAGATGATGCGGCGTTCGAAGAATTCATACAGAGGACATTCTGCCCGCAATCGAAACGGGTAAAGTAGAAACACAACTCGTTCTGATTGCATGAAAGTGTTTTATGTAATGAGACAATCTCTAGTTGATAATTTTAGGTCTTTTAATGCTGCTATATCTTGTACCTCCAATCTATGGAAGGGGTGCAATAAAACTATATATTTATACGTCACGGCGTATTATGTTGATGATGAATGGGTTTTACAAAAGAGAATAATATGTTTTCGTTAATGTCTATTTCCTCATAACGCAAATGCTATTTTTTAGAACAATAATGGAAATTTTTGGGTTTTATGAGATAAAAAATAAAGTTTTAACTATTACTTTTGATAATGCGTCAACTAACACGACTGCAATTAACATGTTTAAACGTAGTTTGAAACCAGCATTTGGTGGTAAAATTTCTTATAAACGGTGTGCGTGTCACATAATAAATTTAGTAGTACAAGCAGGAATTGAACATATTTCCTCTAATCTAACAAATATTAGAGAACTTTATCCTTCATATCTAGTTCTGGAGCTCGGCTCCAAGAATTTCGACAATATTGCAAGAGTAGCCAGATGCGCCTAAGAAAGTTTCCAACTGATGTGAGACACAGGTGAAACTTAAATGAGAAAAATAGAAAAAAAAGGGATGAATACATATTATCTGTTGATTCGCGTAGAATACCGAAAAACTCGTTGATTCGATCGGAATACCGGGAAATAAGACTTCTATAGACCTGTTGATTCGCTCACGAATACCAGGAAAATAGGCATCAATTACTCGTTGATTCAACAGAATACCGAGAAGATTGGAATCAATATCTTGAGAGAACTCTCAAAGCATATAGTTTTTATTAATCTCTGAAAGAACTATCAATAACAAAGCTATGCTCTCCTATTTATAGAAGACTACAATTCGAAAACGAAAAGGAAACTGAAACTAATCCTAAATATTCTAAATTTAAAATTTAAAAATAACTAAATCAGATAAGCAGTTAAAAATAATATAACAACTAAATAAATTAAAATTCTAATTTTGAAGTCTAGCATCCTTACGCTGCATTAGACCCATCGGGGTAGGAAAAGATTCGTCCTCGAATCTTAAGTAGCCTCAACTGGTATTGAAAGAGAACAACTTTCATGATCTTTGCATGACTTGTCTGGAAATCAAATAATTTGTTGAACTTGCTAACTCGAACCCTTAAAAAATATTCTTCAATGGTAATTGTGCTGAAAACCGATATGGGATTTTCCTTTTCTTCAAGTTGGGCGTCTCTGAATTCATAGGCAGTGGGTGCATTGACATGGACGGTGGGATGACGACAAAGCAACATGGCTAAATTGATAGAGGAGCGCTTTGGCTCTGATACCAACTGACGTAGCAGAAGTAAATGAGAAAAATAAAAAAATGGGATAAATTCATATTATCCGTTGATTTGCGTAGAATACCGGAAAACCCGTCGATTCGATCAGAATACCGAAAAATAAGACTTCTATAGACATGTTGATTTGCTCACGAATACCAGAAAAATAGACATCAATCACTCGTTGATTCAACAGAATACCGAGAAAATTGGAATCAATATCTTGAGAGAACTCTCAAAGCATATAATTTTTATGAATCTCTGAAAAAACTATCAATAACAAAGCTAGGCTCTCCTATTTATAAAAGACTACAATTCGAAAACGAAAAGGAAACTGAAACTAATCCTAAATATTCTAAATTTAAAATTTGAAAATAACTAAATCAGATAAGCAGTTAAAAATAAGATAACAACTAAATAAATTAAAATTCCAAATTGAAGTCTAGCATCCTTGCGCTGCATCACTCCACCTACTAAATGTTGAAGGCACCACTCCCGTATCAACAGCTCATCACAACGTATTTGAACAGTAAGAACGATCAAATTTTAATTTTTGATACAGATTAGAGTATTGGTGAGTACTTTTTTAAATTTTTAGAAGTTTTCTATAATTCCGGAGTTTATTATCCTACCGAACATTTAGCTTTGCATCAACTATTTAATATTTCAGAAACATTTCTTATTATAGAGATACTAAACTTTTTAAAAATATAGTTAAGCTAATGGAAGCTAAATTTAAAAGTTAGTGATTCGGATATCTTGGAGGGGCTAATGTACGTTAAAGACTGGAAAGATGCCAGAGACGAAAACAACAATGTACGGATGATTCAATTCAAGAATACTTTTCTTACTTAGACATAACAGAATCATCTGAAAACACTTAGGTTTTATAATTTACTTATCCTAAGGTTTTGTCTCGATCTTCCCACGGGTTTTAGTTGACAAGGTTTTTAACGAGACAGTTATTTATGTGTACTTATTCACGTTATCTCAATTTAATAAAATCACATCTTTTGGGAGCATATAAATTTTTTTTATTAATTTAAAAGGGCCAGGGCCGACCTGTGAAGGGCCTAGGCCCGAGCCTGGCCCTGGCCCTTATGGACTAGGGCTGAGGGCCAGTGCTGGGCCTAAGGGCTTCTCCTCATGCCCGGCCCTGGCACGGCCTAGGCCCGCCACGGGCCTGGGGTTAGAAGGACCGTGCTGGCCCGACACGACCCTTTTGACACCTCTACCACCATTTACGACTTCTTTTCTTTCCATTTTCCTGGGTTTCATCTGATAAAACATCTCATGCATAATAGCATTTATGAGGGAATCTGCAACCAACACTAAATACATGTAACATGAAGCCAAAACAAAACCAATGAAAAGTAAGCAACTCAGAATCAGCCGAGGATATGCCTTCATTAGATAGCACATAATAAACTAAGGTATAAGAAATTCGCCATCCGAAATACGACCCTGATTTTGTTTCACATAGGCATTTGTGGAAAACTTGGAACTAAGTTACAATAGTTCAATCTTCAATGTTGCTCTCGTCTTAGCACACAAGATCACACAAAACGTGTCAACACAAATGTTCATGGCTAGGTACAACAAGCACACCGCAACTATTGTCCTTGCGTGATCATATGATAGTTGACTCGTCAAATAGCCAAGTTGACCAAATCTGTACAAGCAATTAAAGACATTGGTTCTAAGAGTATCTGTACAATTCCAAAAACAAGACCCTGAATATGATTGTGGGAATCTCGTAGATCAAAACTAGAAAAGAAGAACACCAGTTCGGCAATATGATTAATGATGCAGGAGGCTGAGACGACTATTACCAGAAGAGTCCCCAAGAAAAGGAATCGACCGTCAGTCTGTTCTATAGGCCCAACCATGTTTGTCTAGAAAAGCATGGACTGCTTCCTTTATGGCCAAATTCGAGATGAGTTGAGATTCATCAAGTCGCTCACGTGTAATTGGATCAAATTCACCTACCTGATTCCAATATAAAGATGAGTCAGAACTATTCATACGGCACAAGTGAATGGAGGACACTAACATTGGTAGATGCAATCTCAGAACTAAAACATCACCTTTCTAAGATGGTCCAAAATCACTGAACGCTCATATGAAACACCACTAGGAGTGATCACCGGATCACGGAATATGTCGAGCGTAATTTTACAACACAGGTGATCGGGCACCTGAAAATTTTCAATTAGTGTCTCCACGAGCTAAATGGGAATACTTTGTCAATATATAGAAATGCAACAATAATTAAACCCTTACTTCTTTTGGTGTGTCAGCTTCTGCAGCTATCTGGAAAACTTTTTCTAAAGCCCTTAGTTGTTCTGCATTAGAGATAGAAGCATCATCCAAGAACCCCTCCATTTCCGATTCTTCAAGTAAATGTTTCTGTCTGAGAGCAGTCTCACAAGCTTCTCTGCATCACCCAAATAAAAGATTGAGCAACTGATCACGAAATTACCAGCTACTGGTCATTAAATCGAAAACTCTTTCCAACTTCACAGGCCTAAACTCACAAGGAAAACATACTTTAAATTTTGCAAGTCCCATGAACGCTTGGTAGATGCATGCTCCCACTCCTTGTACTTTGCTTCTGCAAGTTCTTGCCATATCTCCTCCACCATAGAACCCTTTGGATTTGGATCACCCCTCTCAAGATCCAAAGCCTACACAGGAAAGTTGTTAGGATCCTGCTTAGTGTTAGATCACGACAGCCAGAATTGAGGCAACTCGTAAATGAGTTTAGCTTCTTCGATTGAATTCACTCTCACTCTCTCTCTGGAGAGGAGCTTTCTTACACTGAACAAACAAACAGAAAGGAAAAGAAAGATAGCAGAAATAACAATGGAGAATTCGAGGTTCTCCTTCCTCCCAAGGCCTGCTAACAGGATTTTCCCAAATCAACAGACAACCTCTCACGTTCCCCCCTCCTTCCCTAGATATGCTCTCCCAGGCTAACAATTCCTAACCAACTTGCCACATCAGCTCTCCTGGCTAGTATTTCCTATATTTCCATTTCCCACCCCCTTGTCTTGAACAATTGCCCCACGCCCCTTTCTCCTAGAATAGACTAACGTAACAGGAGGCCTAACAATCCCCCCCCCCCCGGAAGACAACCTTGTCCCCAAGGTTGAAAGTAGGGAATTGCAAGCGAATCGCAGCCAACGGTTCCTAGGTAGACTCCCACTCATGTAGGCCCTGCCACTTGATGAGTACCTGCTGTTCCTCCCGTCCCCCCACCACTACCACCCTAGACTCCAGAGCCTCTTCCGGGTAGACGCACAACTCCAAGTCTTCGGACAACTGCTCCGGTAAAGGCTGCACCCTGGAAGCCACCCCCTTAAAGGGTTTCAACTGAGAGACATGAAAAACCGGATGGATGCGAGCGGTATCCGGCAGGCGCAAGTGGTATGCTACAGGACCAATCTTAGCAAGAACTTCAAATGGTCCGTAGAAGCGCTGAGTGAGCTTCTCATTCTTGCGTCGAGCCAGGGACTTAAGGCGATAAGGTCGCAGCTTGAGTAGAACCAGCTCCCCAACATCAAAATGCCGTTCCCGACGATGGCTATCCGCAAATTTCTTCATACACTGCTAGGCTAGCAAGAGGTGAGATTTTAACAAATCCAACATTTCATTGCGAAGAACCACTTGGTCCTCCACTGCAGCCATCGTGCCGAGAGTATCCTGAAAACGGAAGAAGGTGGGAGGGTCACGGCCGTAGACAATGCGAAAGGGGGTGAATTTGGTCGAGGCGTTAAAAGTTGTGTTGCACCAATATTCAACCCAAGGCAGAAATGAAGCCCATAGCCGCGGCTTATCCCCTAAAAAGCACCGTAAATAACCCTCCAGGCAGCGGTTAACCACCTCTGTTTGTCCATCGGACTCCGGATGATAAGCGGAACTGGTACACAACTTAGTGCCTTGCAATTTGAATAATTCACGCCAGAATCCACTCATAAAGATCGCGTCCCTATCACTTACTATGGATCGTGGAAGCCCATGAAGCTTAACAATGTGCGAGACAAACAAGGCAGCCACTTGTTTGCCCGAATATGGGTGAGCCAGAGGGCAAAAATGGGCATATTTGGACAGACAATCCACGACCACCAAGATGGTGTCAAACTTGCTAAACTGAGGCAGGCCCCCGACAAAATCCATGGATACATCGTCCCAAACCAAGTCCGAAATGGGTAAAGGCTGCAAGAGGCCTGCTGGTGAAAGGGCTTCAGACTTGTTCCGCTGGCAAATCTCGCAGTGAGCCGCATAATCCTGAATGAAACGTTTCATCCCTCGCCAGAACACCACGGCGGACAACCTCTTGTAAGTACACAAGAACCCGGAATGACCCCCAATCACTGAATCGTGGAACTCATGAACCATCCGAGCAATGGAAGGGGAATTCGCCACCAAGACCAGCCGGTTCTTAAAGAACAATAGGCTATTTTTTAACGAATAGCCCTCCAGAAGCTCACCGTCCTCAAGTTTAGAAATGGTCGTGGCCCACTCTTTCTCGGTGCGCTGCTCCAAACGGACAGGCCTCCAAATCCCCAGCCTGAGGCATGGTGAAGGCGCAAAGAGTAGTGTCCGGCCAGTCTCCTCGCCTAGACAGCGTGTCAGCCACCTTATTGGCTACTCCCAGCTTGTATTGGACCTCAAAGTCATAGCCAAACAGCTTATACACCCACCGCAGCTGGTCGGGAGGTAGTTGGCGCTGTCCCATGATCCGTGCGGACTACAAAATGCCGCCCCAATAAGTAGTGTCTCCATTTTTGGATAGCCAACACCACCCCCATAAGCTCCCTTTCGTAAATAGACTTTACGCGGGAAGCTGGGGCGAGAGCCTTGCTGAAAAACGCAAGAGGCCTGCCCTCTTGCATCAAAACCGCCCCCAGGCCTTCTCCAGAAGCGTTTGTTTCAAGCACAAAGGTCTTATCGAAATCCGGCATTGCTAATACCGGAAGTTGAGTCATGGCGGCCTTCAGCGCCTCAAATGCGTGGTTAGCAGTGTCGGACCTAACAAAGCCCTTCTTTGTGAGCAACTCCGTCAAGGGCCTTGCTAGGATGCCATAGCCCTTAACGAACCTCCTGTAATATCCCGTTAGCTCCAGGAACCCGCGTACCTCTCTGACGTTTCGCGGGGGGGGTCATGCCGTGATAGCCTGAATCTTAGAAGGGTCAGCCGCGACCCCCTGTGCCGAAATGAGGTGGCCTAGGTACTCCAATTTCCGCTGCCCGAAACTGCACTTCTTCTTGTTAGCGAACAACTTCTCACGCTGCAGGACACCAAAGACAGTGGCCAAGTGTTGGCAATGGTCCTCCCACGTACGGCTGTACACCAAAATATCATCAAAGAATACCAAACGAACTTCCTGAGGTAAGGCCGAAAAATTCTATTCATGAGGGCTTGGAAAGTGGCTGGAGCATTCGTCAGCCCGAAGGGCATGACGAGGAACTCGTAGTGGCCCTCATGAGTCCGGAAAGCCGTCTTTTCTACGTCTGCTTCGTGCACCCGAATCTGGTGGTATCCCGCTCGCAAATCCAACTTAGAAAACACCACAACCCCGTGTAGCTCATCCAACAACTCATCAATCAACGGGATGGGAAACTTATTCGGAATTGTGACTTGGTTGAGCGCATGGTAGTCTACACAGAACCGTCAGCTGCTGTCCTTTTTTTTTAACCAAAATGACTGGGCTCGAATAAGGGCTGCTGCTCGGCTGAATGATGCCCGAAGACAACATATCCGTCACCAAGCGCTCTATTTCTCCTTTCTGTACTTGTGGATATCGATAGGGCCGAACATTCGGGGGATCGGCCCCCTCCCTCAAGACAATCCTGTGATCCCGTTCCCTGTGAGGAGGTAGCTCCGTAGGACTTTGGAATACCCTTTCAAAATCACACACCACTGTCCTCACCTCTTCTGGCACCACTCTGTCGCCTTCGTCCCCTCCTTGCACCGAGAGTTTGCACACTTCCACCAACACCCTAACTCCTTTTGGAGACAACGTCATCACTAGAGAACTCAACTTCACCGGGGCATAGCACAAGCTGTGGTCACCTCGCCAGGTTACCCACGTTGGTCCAGCCCGAAATTTCAAAAGGAACTTGGACCAATCAGCTCTTACTTCCCCGAGAGTGCTCAGCCATGTCACCCCCAGCACCATATCAGCCCCACCCAAATCAAAGGGGAAAAAGTCCTCGACCCTATGCCCCTGGATCCATACCCAAACCGCCCTACATACTCCTCGTTGCTTAAACTAAGCCCGTTGCCCACCACGATGTTGTGACTTACCGTGGGGTCCATCGGCAGTTTAAGCTCCTTTGCTACCGTTCCCGAGATGAAACTGTGAGTAGCCCCACTGTCTACCATCACCACCACTTCTCGGCCACCGATTCTGCCCCGCAGCTTTAGTGTTTTGGAGGAAGACAATCCTCGCAGGGAGTTCAGAGACAAATCCACCTTGTCTTCCAAGCTCCCTTTTTCCAACTCCTCCTCCAGAAGATGCTCCTGAACAGCGCCATCCTCCTCCTCGGATGCTCCCTCTGTGTCCGCCAAAATCAACACTTGAAGTTGCCGGTTCTTACAACGGTGCCCGGGGTTGAACTTCTCGTCGCACCTGAAACACAAGCCCCGAGCTCGTCGTTGCTGGATTTCCTCCTCCGTGAGGCGGCGGGAAGACGAAGCTCCCCCTGTCGCCGAGTTCTGCCCTGTGCCCATCCCACCTCGTCCCCCATATACCCCCACCGCTTCATTTGGACCCTTGGATCGAAGGGGGCTCTCCTAGGAGAACAAGGTAGGATTTGTGCCCTGAATTGGGCCCCCGGCTCGTTCCCACGTGTCAGCCAAGCCCACGACCCGCCCGGTACCTCCTGACTCTCTCAGCTGCTTCATTGCGGGCCTCTACTTGTTGGGCCAAATCCATCATATCATGCAAAGTAACGGGCCTGTGCATTTTCAACTCAACCCGTATATCTTCCCTAAGCCCGTGAAGGAACATCCCTCTGAAGATGGCATCGGGCATGCCCCGCATTTGAGCCGCCGCTCCCTCGAACTCATTCCGGTAATCCGCCACCGTATCGCGCTGCCGGAGTGCCATGAGTTGCTCCACTGGATCGACCTCCCTCCCCCGACCAAATCTTCGCAAGCACCGCCGCCCGCAATTCCCTCCACGATCCGAACGGGTCTTGGGCGTCAGCCCATTGGAACCAACCCAGTGCTTGTCCCTCCATGCACACCGACGCCACCACCACTTGCTCTTCCTCCTCTACGTGGTTGACGACGAAATACTTGTCAGCCTGGAATACCCACCCTTGAGGATCCTCGCCGTTGAATATGGGTAGCTCCAGCTTCCGTCTGCGGTGCTCCACTCGGCCCCTTGGGCCTGGGGGTGATTCCCGCCACCACTCGCGCCTAAATTGCCGGGGTTCCTCCTCGCGTGGGACTGGGGGAGGTGTCACCGGCCGAGCCTGTGGTACCGGCCGTCGTCCCTCCTGCATCCTTGGTGGAACCGCTTCAAATCTTGGAGGAGGTGGTGGATTCCTCTGGAAGAACTCCGCCTGCCTGTGGAGCATCGCTTCCAGTCACCGTACCGACCCTTGCACGTCATCCAGCTGAGCCCCGATCTCCGTCACGTCTTCCTGCAACTTTGGCAAAGGTTCAGTCAAGGCTTCGACAATCTGTAACGCCTCGTAGAATGAATCCATCCTCTGCTCCAGCCTTGCTACCTCCTCCGTCTGAGATCGCACACTCGAGTTTTCTCCCATGGATCGTCACGCTCTGATACCAAATTGTTAGGATCCTGCTTAGTTTTAGATCAAGACAGCCAAAATTGAGGCAACTCGTAAATGAGTTTAGCTTCTTCGATTGAATTCACTCTCACTCTCTCTCTGGAGAGGAGCTTTCTTACACTGAACAAACAAACAGAAAGGAAAAGAAAGATAGCAGAAATAACAATGGAGAATTCGAGGTTCTCCTTCCTCCCAAGGCCTGCTAACAGGATTTTCCCAAATCAACAGACAACCTCTCACGTTCCCCCCTCCTTCCCTAGATATGCTCTCCCAGGCTAACAATTCCTAACCAACTTGCCACATCAGCTCTCCTGGCTAGTATTTCCTATATTTCCATTTCCCACCCCCTTGTCTTGAACAATTGCCCCACGCCCCTTTCTCCTAGAATAGACTAACGTAACAGGAGGCCTAACAATAGTTAAAAAAAAAAATCATTTAATTATGTAGCTTTTGATCAATGTAACCAAATCACATACAAAAATAAAATACGTCACCACAATTAGTCACAATAACCAAAACAGCTACAAGCATCCCATGCTAGTTGGAACTAATAAATACATCAAATAATCAAATTGTATATAAACTATAAAGCACTGCGTACCTTCTCCAACTCCTTAATTCCTCCCGCATATTCTTCCCTTTGTAGTAATGCAAGTCCCAACATATAATGGCCCTAAATGCAACAAAGCAGTATTAAGTTGATTATGTCTAATAATCCAAATGGGGGAGGAAAAAGAATGAAGAATCAAAGGCAACGATCAAATTTAAGCACTCTGGGTGGAATACTTCTAGGAATCTACTTATATAACAAAATGTTATACTAAATTTCTAAGGAATTAACATTGGACAAAACACATTCCGCTCTTTGAAACACGTAAAAGAACTACTTTAGTAGCAAGAGGTGAGATTTTAACAAATCCAACATTTCATTGCGAAGAACCACTTGGTCCTCCACTGCAGCCATCGTGCCGAGAGTATCCTGAAAACGGAAGAAGGTGGGAGGGTCACGGCCGTAGACAATGCGAAAGGGGGTGAATTTGGTCGAGGCGTTAAAAGTTGTGTTGCACCAATATTCAACCCAAGGCAGAAATGAAGCCCATAGCCGCGGCTTATCCCCTAAAAAGCACCGTAAATAACCCTCCAGGCAGCGGTTAACCACCTCTGTTTGTCCATCGGACTCCGGATGATAAGCGGAACTGGTACACAACTTAGTGCCTTGCAATTTGAATAATTCACGCCAGAATCCACTCATAAAGATCGCGTCCCTATCACTTACTATGGATCGTGGAAGCCCATGAAGCTTAACAATGTGCGAGACAAACAAGGCAGCCACTTGTTTGCCCGAATATGGGTGAGCCAGAGGGCAAAAATGGGCATATTTGGACAGACAATCCACGACCACCAAGATGGTGTCAAACTTGCTAAACTGAGGCAGGCCCCCGACAAAATCCATGGATACATCGTCCCAAACCAAGTCCGAAATGGGTAAAGGCTGCAAGAGGCCTGCTGGTGAAAGGGCTTCAGACTTGTTCCGCTGGCAAATCTCGCAGTGAGCCGCATAATCCTGAATGAAACGTTTCATCCCTCGCCAGAACACCACGGCGGACAACCTCTTGTAAGTA